GGAACATGTAGATATCTTGAATTGACGAGTTATGAGCTACTGGAGTTATGACTAGTCAGAATCAAATTGTAGATGTCTCAAACTGGAATTACAGAGATCTACAATTCAGTTGCAGATATCCGTAATTCACATAGTGGATATCTCCAACTGAATTGTAAATATCTGTAATGATACACCCCATACAAATGAATGGCAAAAGTGACGTCATTTGTCCTAGGAAGAATGTCTTTGTGGATATCTGAAATGACAATTATGGATAGGAAGAATGTAGTTGCAGATATCTGAAATGTTCTTTTTGACTAGGCAACACATATACAGTTTAGCTGTTAAATGTTACATTAGCTTGTCATATGGCCTTTCCCTTCAATTGAAGACGCAGTACTGATTCTTTCCGAAAACAGCTGAACTCCTGGAGGCGTGCCGTTGGCAGACCTAAAGAGTCATACACTCCCTGGATAACTGTTGATTCACTATACGTTCGTATTTTTTACATTATATGCACTTACATATTGCCGATTGTCAACAAAACTGACATTTAATGTTACTTACTGCCTGCAATTCCAACTCATGACCGGGATATTTTCTCTCTGGAACCGCGCAATCTTTTAGTTTCAAACGATCTGCAAATCTAGCATCGAACTGGGCCTCGTTTATAAATCATTTGTCACCGAAATGCCGGGAACAAACAAACTGTTCCTCTAATGGGTTCTTTGGGAAGCTGAACAAGGTTATCTTTCCCCTAGAACCAAAAAACACACTTCTTTGGTTTCATTGTTGATTTCCTGGTCTAAAAACAAAATAACAGCGCTGCCGATGGCTTCCAGACCATAACCTGAACTAAGCACGTTGATGGGCGTTGCTCTAATGCTCTTCTTATTGGTTTTTAACGGCGGCTGGCAATCAGCGTATTAGGTGCATTACCGCCACACTCTATGCTCTCTGGTTGATGTGTGCACACTCTTCCAGAAGTAACAATACAAGGAATTCCGCCCTTTGTGACGTCATACCTGTCATGATTCCTGTCTTGTGTTCCCCTTGTTCTGTGTGGACTTTTATTATTTCCTGTTTTGTGCCATGTGTTTGTAGTCCTTTGTAGTTTTTCCTGTTGATTAGTTCATGAAACAAACTAATTTAGAGGTCTTTAGAATCGCGTGGAAAGAAAGTATGTCACGTTATAAAAAGGCTCTAAAAGCATCCAGGGCTGAGCATCTCCGCAAACTAATAGAAAATAACCAAAACAATCCAAGGTTTTTATTTAACACCATGGCTAGACTAACAAATAAACAGACATCACCAGAGCAAAATATTCCGTTACAGTGTAGTAGTAATGATTTTATGAATTTCTTCACTGAGAAAATAGAAAGCATCCGAAACACAATTGTAAATGTACAATCTTTTATGGTGTCTTATGATTCAGCCTCAATTATCGCCCTCAAGAACAACTACACCGCTTTACAACTATAGGACAGGAAGAGCTAAATAAAATTATCATTGCATCTAAACCAACAACATGTTTATTAGATCCAATACCCACTAAACTACTGAAAGAAGTGTTACCTGTAGTGCAAGAGCCTCTTCTCAATATTAAATCGTCTTTATTTTTAGGTCATGTTCCAAGAATATTCAAGCTGGCAGTAATAAAACCTCTCATTAAGAAACCACAATTAGATCCAAATAACCTAGCAAATTACAGACCCATTTCAAATCTTCCATTTATGTCTAAAATACTAGAAAAAGTTGTGTCCACTCAATTGTGCTCTTTCTTGCAAGAAAATGATATATGAAAAATTTCAGTCAGGATTCAGACCGCATCATAGCACAGAAACTGCGCTAGTTAAAATTACAAATGATTTACTTTTAGCTTCTGACCAAGGCTGTATCTCAATACTAGTTCTACTCGATCTTAGCGCTGCGTTCGACACTATAGATCATAAAATACTCTTGGATCGACTACAAAACTACACTGGTGTTCAGGGACAGGCATTAAGCTGGTTCAGATCATACTTATCAGACCTTCTATCGCCCTACAATCCATCGCGTTCTTTAGGATCACCAAATTCGAGGCTTCTGGTCATTCCTAGGATATCTAAGTCCACTAAAGGAGGGAGGGCGTTCTCACATTTAGCTCCTAAACTCTGGAATAGCCTTCCTGATATTGTTATAGGCTCAGACTCGCTGTCCCAGTTTAAAACTAGATTAAAGACGTATCTCTTTAGCCAAGCATTCACATGATGCTTACCTTTTATACCACTGTTGAATCAGATCGAATGCATTAATATTATGAACAGCAGCTACGCTGATTATTTCCCATCTGTTTTTCTGCTGTTATCTCGGGACGCTAGTCCCGAGGTAAATAGCGTTCGTCAGCTCCAGTTTGTATCCAGCCTCTCACGGAGACTTCAGATGCTCCAACACCTGCGATGAGATGACTTAACGCCTGTGAAGAGACGACTCAATGCCGGCGATATGTTATGCCCTAAATTAATACATGATTAACTAACTGTATTTTTCTATGTACATTTCTGAAATGCACTTTCTGTAAAGCTGCTTTGAAACAATATGTATTGTCAAAAGCGCTATACAAATAAATTTTAATTGAATTGATTGTTCCCAGGTGTATCTTGTTTCCTCATTTGTGTTTCACTTGTTACTAAATCACCCTGCGTTTAGATCCTCGTCTTCGCCTGCTTTCCTCAGCTTCGTTACAGAACAACTGACCAAAATATGGATCTAGCAGGAAGTAAACAGGATCCTGTGAGAGTGCTGTGCTCCATTTTTCAGGACGCCCAGTCCATCGAAAGGTATGTGGAGGAGTTTTTGGCTTGCTGTCATCTAGCACCATTAGATGACGCCCAGCTTATGGTTTTTTTTTGGAGCGGGCTGGATGAAAACATCGCCCAAATGATGCTGGAGGATTATACTGGCTGGACCCTGGCCCAATATATAGATCTGGCTCTGCGGCTGTGTGGATCTTCCTTCACCGTGGGCGAAGTTGAGGAGGATCCACCCTTAAAAGTTTTTTTTGGGGGGGGGGGGGGGGGGGGGGGCTATACAGCCGAAGCTCCGTTGGCCGTGGTGCGTGGCCCACTGCAGACCGCACCATCAGCCAGCACAATTGCGTCCACTGGACCCGTCCGAGGGTGGAGAGGATTGGCGTCCAAGCTGACCGATCCACCACTGACATCTGCCCGATCAGCCACTATTCCGAGATTTTCACTGGTCTCAGCGTTCTCAAATCCCCAGCCTGCCGAGCCAGAGACTGTTCGCGTCACGCCTGCCGAGCCAGAGACTGTTCGCGTCACGCCTGCCGCAGGATGAGCTTCACATCATGCCTGCCCAGTCAGAGACTGTTCACGTCATGTCTGCAACGCTGGCCATTATGGCCACAGCCATGTGGTGTGTGTGGGCCGCCGCCGCGCCAGTGTCTCCGGACAAGATGGCCGCCGCCAAGCCGGTGTCTGGTCCGCCCTGGCCCCCTGCGCTGCCTGGTCCGTCCTGGTTGACTGCACAGCCCTGGCCTCCCGTCCTGCCGCAATCTACAGGTCCTCTTCCTCTCCATGGACCTGGCCCTCCATCCCTCCCCCAAGACCGCCACCGCTCCACCACCCTCCTGGACTGATGTTTACTGAGGAGCGTCTGGAATCCGCTCCTTAAGTGGGGGGCTCTGTCATGATTCCTGTCTTGTGTTCCCCTTGTGTGGACTTTTATTATTTCCTGTTTTGTGCCATGTGTTTGTAGTCCTTTGTAGTTTTTCCTGTTGATTAGTTTATGATTGTTCCCAGGTGTATCTTGTTTCCTCATTACTTATGGTGCGTTGTATTATTGTCAACGAACCGACTCGGCCCTCGGATATGACGCCATTTCCACACTTGAAGCGTTCTGGTATGTTTCGTGCACGTCCGAGTCGGAGAAAAACATGGACGCCACCCGGAAAGCTGTTGCTATGGTAGCACTGGCCGAGTACCAGGCGCTTATCAAAACTCAGCCATTTGAACTTCTAAAATTTTCACTTTATTTCATGTTTTAGTTTATCTTCTGTTAGCAACACTAGCCACGTTAGTAACACCCGTTTGAAACAATGCTTCATTCAATATTGCACTCACAACAAGACCGATTCCCATACCCACAGATAGTGATACGGACGCAGTACGGTATTGCAGTAATACGAGTGATTAAAATCTTCATTTAAACAACCAAAGCGGTCCAAAAACAATGAAAACAATTCATACTAAGTCACACAGGGCGCAGCCATCTTGGATTCCGTATCAGAATTCTTGCTCGGTGTCCTCACGGTTGTCCGAAATCCGAGCGGGAAAATCCGAAGAAAGGGGGCGTGTTGGTGCGTTGCTAGGCAACGTCTGTCTTCCTAGTCGGAACTCCGACATGGATAAATAATAGAACGCACCATTAGTTAAGCTTGTTTGTCCCTGTGTATTTATAGCCCTTGTGTTTCACATGTTACTTTGTCAGTTGTTGTATGTGTAATGGTTGCCTCTGTGATCCCCTGGTTTTGTTCCTCGAGTTCTATGTTATCTGTTTTATGTGTTACTTTATTAAATCACCCTGCGTTTAGATCCTCATCTTCGCCTGCTTTCCTCAGCTTCGTTACAATACCGGGTCATAATTGGAAAAAAAACTTTCCGAAATTTATACGAAACCCGAGGGAGTGTATTTGGCACAGAAAGACTCCGTCATACGACCAACTCATTTTTTGAAACTTTAGCCATGTTTAGCATGAGAATCCAACTCATTAACAATGTAAATAAGTCAGAATAAATGAAATAGCATTAGACATCCCCTTTAAGGGTCATTATGAATGGTCAGTGACATTGTTATTAGTTGGTTGTGATTTTGTATTAATATGATTTATTAAGTAATTGTATGATCAATGCTATTATTTTTGTTTTTGTAATGCCGTCTCTCCATTTTTAAAATAACTTTAATTTAGAAATTTGCCAGTGGTGTTACTGGTTCCTGACAGACTAATACTCTATGATCAGTCATTTTCACAATGTTTTTATTGCTTATTTTATCACAAATTATGAATGGGGATAAACATGAATTATGGGAGGCCTGAGCCTTACAAATGTTCTTTTAAACTACTATAATATTTCTGTGTGGGTATGTCAAACTTAAAGTCTCTTCCATCTTTCCTACCAAATAAACAAAACACCAAATCACAGAATCTAAATAACATTGAAAAAGTAAAACAAGCAAAACAAATATTAAATAACTGCAAAGTTAAAATAGCTGGTAGTACTCTCTACACTTTTTAGAACACAAATATTTTCAGTAGAAGTGCACTTATATGCCTTATAGCTATCTGATATCTGATAATGAACTAATAACTTACATATGAACATATGTTTTCAAGCATCAATGAACGACCAAATGCAAAGGGTGCAATTTGTTGAACATCTGGGAACCTAAATTAATTTCAAGGGTTGTTCAACCTGTCATTTAGCGACTGAAGCAATCAACCAAGTGTTTGGAGTTCCACGGTCCAGCATTGTTGGCCAAGAACTGCACATTGACTTGAGTCTTGGTCTCCTGATACAGCTGGGCAGCCATCTAGATGTAATATAAAATAGATTAGCAGTTTACAACAGCAGATTGGTGCACAAAATGCCATATTTATACACATGCAACCTCAGTTTTAACTAATAAAGTCAAACTCGCATACATTTGGATATTATTATCCATTCAAAACTATATACACATACTTTAGCATTGCGGTATGTGGAGAATGACAAAAAGTCATGGTGGCCTGCCACTGTTGAGACTTTTCTGAAGCAGAAGTACAACGCTCTTTTGCAAAGTCTGCTTGACGATCCAGGACCGCTTACAAATGGAGAACTAAGAGAAAGAATAAAAAAGGATTTTATAAACTCAAGGCAGTCAATTCATTGAGTGGAGTAAAGGAATGGGACTTAATATTTAAACATTGAATAAGGTTGCACTGTTAAATAGAGATCTATATTTTGTTTTTTAACAGTAAAGTATAAGTCAGCAAAGAAGATAAGAACGTATGCAAAACTAGAGTATGAACAGTACAAAAACAACAATACAATATAAAACTATTGACTTGCTAATGTTAACTGACTCAGACACCGATTATAAATATTCACAAAATAACCATCAACGACTAAAGTTTTTTTTTTTTTTAATTATGTTGAAATCACAGATGACTTCTAGTAAAGCATATACTACAGTAGGTTTATACATTTTTGCTAAAAATAAAATTTTCTATGGACAAAAAGGGATTTTTACTTCTGGACGCCAAATGTTGTGCTCTATTGTGACTAACAGTTTGGTCACTGCTCAGATTCTCAAATAGTGCACATATTTATAATAGTCACACCCAATATAGGCAATAAACTTCTGCATGAGCTAATCATTAGCTAGTTCATTAAGTATGACTGACTTGTTGATTGCAAAGCCAGTGGTGCTATCCAGAATCTCAATACTGGAGTCTCCCAAACACCAGTTGACACTGAGGTCTTTGCAGTAGTTGGTGTTCTCAACAGGCCACACACTCTCTCCACTCAGGAAGAAGATGGTGGTCTGTTTGAATGGTGGAGGCAGAGCATTATTCCAGCCTGTGCCCAGACGTTTGTTGATGATCTCAGACACTTTCTCTGAGCAGTGTCTGGAATCACCTGGACAACAAGTGGAGAAAAGGTTAATAAGTACAGCCATTCTTCTGGCTGCTTGGATTTCATCCATGAATATGAAATATACAAGTTGTCTCTTGTATAAAATGTATGAGTAGTAACTTAAGGCTCTCTAATGCAATCATGAATCAATATATTGCAATTCATTCTTAAGATAATAATGTATTGATTCTTCAGTCTTTTCACATTTTCAAATGCACATTTCCTAATTCCTACAGTCCAATTAATAAAGCATCTAAAAAAGTGCAAGTGGAAATTGACAATACTCAGTGTGGTCAGAGCAGCTTCAGTGAGATGTGGTACTAGACAAAAGCGAAGTGAACCACACAAAAAAATAAATTTACAGACAGAAGCTGATACTGCAGATCTTGGTCACAGTTTCAATCCAGATCCAATTGCCATATATAGAAACACTCAGTCACCTGCAAATGCACACAGCTTACCAAGTACAATGCTGGTAATGTAAACTGGGTTAATAAAATGACTCAGTAGTGCCCCCTGCACTCCAGTGACAGTCCAACGGGTGAGTTTGGCACTGTCGGACATGCAACAGATGCGTGCACCCCACACGCTTGGAAGCAGGAAGACAGCAGGGATGAGAGAGCCTTTAGCATGGCACTGCAGCTTCAGAGTGGTGTAAGCACTGCTTTGAGACTTTCTGTGAAAGGATACATGAAGATTTTCAACTTATTTTATATTTTTTAAAATATAGACAGATTCTCTGAAATAGTCGACCAGGGGTGTCAAACTCAGCTTCTGGCGGGCCACAGCCCTGCAGAGTTTAGTTCCAACACTGCTCCAACACACTAGTTGTCTAGTAGTTGTCACTAATAGTCCTGAAGACCTTGATTAGCTGGCTCAGGTGTGTTTGATTCAGGGCTGAACTCTGCAGGACTGTGGACCTCTAGGGCCTGAGTTGAGAACCCCTGCAATATTGCATACACCTTTTTCCTAACAAGCCTACTGCAATTAAGATATGGGAGGCACTTCCAGTTTGGAAGTTTGTGACATGGTATAACAAGAATATCTATAGCAAGTGCTCTTTTCATTCAATGAATTCTTTTCCTCCTGATTTTTTTCTTTTATTCTTTTGTATTCCGCTGTACCAGTATGAAAAAAGACAACATATACAGCGCATTTGTGGTCTGCTCTCCCGATTTAATTTATGATACAGTATATCCCATGAATAATCCACTGGAATGCACAACAATCTCTCGTTTTTCTTCAAAAATCCTCACGTCTCTTTCCAAGTTTGTTTTCACACAGAAGCTTTAAGATGTAAACAGTTCCCCTCTTCACTTCTAATCCCTATTAGAACCATTTACTGGAATGTTTCAAAAGCAGGTAAATCTGTCAAAATGACTAATCACTTTACTATCACTAAATGTACTAGTTAATTAACATTTTTGATTAAGGCAACATACAATACAGACATATATTACTACAGTGATATTTTACACATCCGTATTATTGCTGCGGAAATAATACATCTTTTGGTGTTATTCATGGTCTGTTGTAGTCATTTGTTAATGCTTTTACAATTTATTTTAATGTGCAGTGGGTGCATAAAATGATTATGAATGAAAATGCGTTCATAGAGGGAACCTTTGCTGATTGTTTGCGGTTTAAATGCAGTTACGGTACTCCCAAAATTCGTGCAAAGCTTCAAGGGGTGTAGGGAAAAATGTGGATAATGCAGTGGTTCCCACCCCTGCTCCTGGATTACCCCCAACACTGCATGGTTTAGATGTCTCCCTAATCAAACACACCTGATTCAACTCATCAGTATATTAGTGCAAGGTTGGGAACCACTGGTCAAACTCAGATCCTAGAGCAGGGACGGGTAACTTCGGTCCTGGGGGGCCACTGTCCTGAAGAGTTTAGCTCCCACTCTGATAAAAATCACCTGCCCGTATCTTTCTAGTAATCCTTGTTCAGTTGTGTTTGAATAGGGTTAGAGCTAAACTCTGCAAGGATAGTGGCTCTCAAGGAGCGAAGTTGTCCATCCCTGTCCTGGAGGATCCATAGAATGTATGTTAGCATAGCACATAAAAAAATTATACTTACAAAACTATGCACTGAGCTGCTCCTTTGGGGGTTTTGTTAGTGTACAGGTGAAGGTACATGCGTGGCTTTAGCTGAAGCAGTCGTTCAGATGGAACAGTTTCAAATATGGAGCGCTGCTTCAGCTCTGGATCAGCACTGTAGAACAGCAGGAGCTGCTTGTACAAGTACCTGTGACACCAGACAGGACAGACAGATTTATCTCCTTATTTTAACTCTTTCCCTGTCATTGACGAGCTAACTCGTCATTTATGACAAAATCCTTCCCTGCCAATGCCAATTTTTTATGGCTTTGTCTTATTTCATTTCGTTAAAAGGTTGGGGGCAAAGAAAAAGCAGAAACAAGCGATCTCATATGTAATTAGACACATATAAAAATACCGGTAATGCGATCAACAATAAACGGCATATAAACTAAATTAAATGAACCCAGGAAGTGGTATATGACTGTGCAAGCATTAAGGGTGTTGATGGACTCGATCTACTCCATCTATGTTTTGATCATCGTTCTGGATATGATCCAGTTGTAATCATTGGCAAAAACGCGATTTTCTCAGCTTTTTTGCTAAGAAAACATCGCTTTTTAAAATTTTTTTAAACTTACCCACATTCAAGTGTTGATAAAAAAAAGAATGCATGAAGGTAGACTAAAACTGATTTTGTTTAAAACGGATAATAAAACAGATATTTATTCTTTCTTTTAATATATTGCTATATATTTGATATATTGTTAAGATATTCATAAAACAAAAATATTCTGGGGGCCATGACACTTTTGTGAAAAAGACCAAAAACACTTCAGGGAAAGAGTTAAGTTATATAGTATAGCCATGCTGGCAAATACCCTAGAAACAGAGATTTGCCATGCCTAATATTGGACACATACACTCCATAAATACCATTTAAATGTTTTCCCACAAGTTCATTTGAAATATAAATATATACATTTAGAGAGAGAGAGATGAAGTAGTCTTGCTCTTTGTCTCTCTCAATTTCTAAGCTGTTAAAAATGTTCAAACCTTTTGAGGGCTCTGCGGGCGATGACTATGGCGTGGCAGTCATGGACGACAGATCCTGTGTAAGAAAGCCAACCACTGCAGCAGTTCTGACCTGATCCCAGAGCTACCACTTCATATTGCTCACAGTGCTGCGCATCCGTGTCACGTACCTCTGACACACACATTAAAAACATTTTTAACCATTATTAATAAACTGCCCAGGAAATATTTTTATTATACAATTCACACACATTTACAAAGGATAATGGTTTTATTCATGCTCATGCAATATGCAAAATTCATTGTAAATTTTACATTTTTGGTTTGTGAAATTTGGTTGTGAATTCTGCTCATCAGTAGGTAATATTTTCTTTGTAAAGAAAATGAAACGTTTAATGAAAAATGTACATGTGTGAAAAATACAAAATAATATTGTTTTTAATAATTTTAGAAGAATTGATAAATGAAAAGATTATACATTTCAAATGAGAAATCATTAAATTCATAAATGATTTTAATTCATAATTTTTTGTTTTGGAGCCTACATAATAATTGTTGAGTCCTAGGCTATGAGTGAAATTGCCCCTATACCCATCTCACCTCTCTCAAGTACAAAAGCAGCAAAGCAGCTCTTAGTCCTGGGATACTCAGGACATTCTCTGAGCAGCTTGCCAAAACGTTCAGTACACACAGCTGTTACGCGGCGCTTGTGCCAGTCTGTGAACTTTACTGAAAGAGCAAGAATTTGAGACAACAGTTGTAGTAAAGAAACATCTGACACAAATAAATAATGAAAATTCTTTAAAAACAAAAGTCAGCATACCTCCAGTTCTCTGGCCCCTCCTGAGAGTGCCATCTGTGTTGTCTTCCAGGTCTTCAAGGGTTGTTTCACCTCCTATAATACTACTCAGGCTCCATGCAGAAGGGGACTCTGGCCCAGAGGCCAGGTCCTCCACTTGCGGCGAAGACTCCAATGATGGGACTTCTAGGGTAAGGTGGTCTACAGCAGTGGGTTCCTCTATATCAACAAAGTGCTGTAACTCTGGGTTGGAGGGTTGACTCTCTTTTGCAGGTGATGGAGTATCTTTAATCTCACTGTTAGGGCCAAGAGGCTTGAGACTGGCCCTATGGACCCCAAAGGTGGGCTCCCTCTCAGGAGCAAAGCGCATCATTAGAGTGGCAGCCATTCGAGGAAGCCGTTTCCCCTCTGCATTCACACCGTGGTTTGACATTATCTGCTGTAAAACGTCATGCATAATGAAAGATTTTTTGATAGATTGCAGAAAAGAGAACTGTTGGTGGTCACAAACTCACAAACATGTTGATTTAAAAAAATTATTGTACATTATGGGCCTGAAATATGACATATTTATCTATCTCAGATATAGCAAGTTCGTAATTTTAGCTGACCAATGTGATAACTGGATAGCCTACTAATATCAAAATCCATTTATATAAAAAATACACGACGTAACATGAGCTAGAGTGTAGGTCATACACAATAGACAACAAAGTGACACGTTATCTGCACTGTATGTTTAAAGATACCTGACTTTCAAAAGAGCTTCTATGTCGAATAAGTTGATCAGCATCAGCAAGCAACTCTCGTCCACCTGCAAGGTTGAGCTAATTATTGGGAGGAGCCTTAGCCTGTTTGAGTCACGTGACGGCGATAGCGCGTAAAAGCATGAATAAAAGGATAAGCAATTTCCACCGCTTTACAGTAGAAAAGTTAAACATACAAAATGCAAATTGTATTTTATATGTAAAAATATACATTTAAAATATTTTAAAAACCGAAAAAGTAAAAATGTTCACAATGCTCTCCGCCTGGTCGACAATTTTGTGAAAAATACAGCTGTCTTAGACCTTTTAAACTAAAATAAGGATTGGGGTATTAATCACAAGTTATATAATGGTAGTGGTTAAAATATAATCATATTAAAAGTGTTTTATATATGAAACCTTTATAAATTAGAGTCTCTGGAAAGTTTAAGAAACTATGCAAATCTTCTTTGAAACAATGGCCCGGTTTCACAGACAGGGCTTAGGTTGAGCCAGGATTAGAACTTAGTTCAATTAGGAAATTTAGCTTTTATAAACGTGACTTGGGAAGAAAAAAAAATAGTTTTGTTGGTTTCAAGTTGTTCTCAGTTAAAACAGACCAAACATGCATTTTAGTCTGGAAGTAGGCTTAAGTCTTGTCTATGAAACTGGGGAAGTATGTTTTAAAAACGCTGTGCAAAAAATAAAACACTCGAGCTTTTCATGGCAGTTACATATACTTGACCAGCAGGTGTCACCAGCGGACAGTGTTTTGATTTATGATTTATGTTAAGCTTATTGACAGTATTTATTTATTTTTGTTTATATTATTATTTAATATAAAATATTATATTTTAATATAAAAAAAATATAAAGAGAAACATTTATTAAACAATATATAATAAGCAACAATTTAACTGGATTTCACTTTCTGATTTGTGAGATGAAATTCTCTTCTAGGTAACCAAACCATTTTTGACCAACACAAGAACGTCCCTCCTCCATGACGAGCATGCATCATCCCGCCTGTTATAAAGTCATTCATCCATTGGCTGACTTCACCTAGCAATCAACATTGCAACAACAGGAAGCCGCTTGCTTCTTCTTTTGGATTGGTCGATTGCGTTGCGTCTCGGCCCACTCATCCAATCACTGCGCTTCTTGAATGAAACGTAGTGGCGGTGGCGCGGGTTTTATATTTATTGTGCGTCAGGTCGGCGGGAGATAGAGCTCTGCTCATAGCAGTTTAGCCAGTTTACTGGGTGTTTTTTGTGCATCTGTTCTGTTGGAGAGTGTCAGCTTAAAAGCGTTAAAATGGAGGAATTTGGCGTTTATGCAATATTTGGAGTAGATGAACCACCACAACAGATCTTAAGGTACAGTTCACTGAGATAAACAAACATTGGAAATGCATTGGGCTCTCTATTTTTATTATTTTAATGCAACTCAAGTTGCGCGTGCTTCCAGTGATTCAAATTGTTTGAATGCATGTAATATATTCAGATAGCTTCATATATTTTATTATTATAATTAAGCAATGATTGGAGTCATGCAAGCGTTGACAGTGCAATGCATACTTTCTGTCTCCCGCCTCGTGAAATTCTTGCGGGAAACAGAAAAAACTACAAAGACACACACAGTATCAACTGTACTGTAGCTACCTATCCCGGTTATACATGATTTTTTATCCACAGCAGACGTGATGGGTGGCAGAGCTCAGTTGAGATCCAGCCTAGTGTTCAGCTGATGGTTCTCTTCACCAGAGGAGACTGGGGAAAGAGAGACTCAATCTCTGTGGAACTTGCTGATGAGAGGGACATACCCATTAATATGGGAAAACTAACACCATTCAATAAGTAAGTTTATTGTTTATGTCAAATCAATATAGTATATTTTAGTTGGAACCTTTAACCTAAACCTTCCCTCTCCTCAGATGTCTGTCATGGGAAGCTGGTGAGGATGGAGTCTGGTCCAGTGGAGCAACCTTAACTGTCAAACTCAGTGGGGTAAGTAAGAGACTCTACAAAGATTTAAGCACAGACAGCATGAAATAAAAAATCACCCTATCCATTTTCTAAATGCATGTTATTGATCTTAATGTGAACAATATTATAATATTATAACATCACATTCCAGATTTCTCCAATCATTTAATCCCCATATATACTGATTGGCGTCATCACTCTGTCTCCTCTCAACCAATAAGCTGGTGTGTGGAGGGTGTTCTGGCACAATATGGCTGCCGTCGCATCATCCAGGTGGATGCTGCACATCGGTGGTGGTTGAGGAGATTCCCCCTAATATGTAAAGCGCTTTGAGTGCTGAGAAAAGCTCTATATAAATGTAACGTATTATTATTTAGTTAGATTAAACCCGTTACAATCAAGCTCACATTTAAATCTACATTTGTCCAATGAACAAAAGATGTATTGAACCAAGTGATGCTTTTCATTGATGCGTTTCACTTGGATGTACATGAAAATACAGAAGAAAAGACTTTAAGGGAAAATCTACAGAATAAATTAATAAGTTGTTCCAAACCTGCATGAAGTACTTTCTTCTGTTGAACACAAAATATATTTTGAAGAATGTTGGTAACAAAACAGTTGCTGGTCTCCATTGACTTCCATAGTATAGAAGAAAATACTATGGAAGTAAACGGGGACCAGAAACTGTTTGGTTACCAACATTTTTCAAAATATCTTCTTTTGTGTTCAACAGAAGAAAGTACTTCATGCAGGTTTGGAACAACTTAAGGGTGAGTAAATTATGACAGAATTTTCATTTAAAGGTGACCTATCCCTTTAAGCTTTTCAGCAAAGATAGTAGCATCTTCAGTTCTGTTTAAAACATTTTGCATGACCCCTTTAATCAAAATAAATGTAATATTTAAGAAGTAAAATTCAACAATTTTGTGTGAAGTCTGTAAAACCTGTGCGTATCTGATTCCGACAACTAACTTACCCATAATCCTGTTTTCCAAAGGGTACTAGTGATTTCTTGGATCCAGTGTTGACTGTTTCACAGATGGAATGCACTCCAGAGGTAAGTTTAGCCTGTTATACCTATTTTGACTTTAGTTTAGTTTCGCTCTGTGCTTGCCGATACTTACCTGCAGAATTTTCTCTCAATTTATTGTTTTAAGTGCAACTCCACAGCACCTGTATTAAGGGAGTGTCCAGGCAAGAGGAAGTGGTCTCAGGAAGAGGAGGAAGAAGAAATCAATGAAGGGAGAGGAAAGGAGAACATCTGCCCTAACGCCTCCCAAAAGGCAACACCTCACAGACGTGGCAAGAACAATCCTCGTGGAGGTCAAACACGTCTGTTCTCTCAAAAGGAGGAACAGACTGCAACTTCCAGTTCTCAAAGCCACAAGGCTAAAGGCAAGCAGGCCAAAACCCTCTTACAGACTGGTTAGTGAGTTTTTTTCATTGTTTGCATTTGGGGTGTATTAATGCTGTGTTATGATGATAGTTATTTTATGTTTGGTAATACTACTTTTCCAGCTTCATTGGACAAACCGTCAGGTCGCTGGGGTCAGACTCTCTGCCCCATTGATCCTCAGACAGCCATTTTGATTGGAGGACAAGGATCCAGAATGCAGTTCTGCAAAGACCCCATCTGGAAACTGTGCACAGGTAAACATTTTATGTTTCTGTCTCACCATATCAATAGATTGTAATTTTGCTATTATATTATTAGATCTGCTATCACTTGATAGATATAATTCTGCTCTTAAAGTCGTCATGAAATGGTCTTTTCTTCCCTATTGTGATACATATCTGAGTGAAACGATGTCTTGAACAAGAAAAAATGTAGGTTGAGACTTGAATTGATTGGATCATTGTGGTTTGCTATTGCTATGATCTCACGTGAGAGACCAGTTGTCCTGCCCACGTATCGGTAAAAACATAATCAGATAAAAAAAAGAGATGCTGCTGAAAGAGGCAAGGGAAGTTATTATGATTTAAAGATAATGAGGGCACAGAATGACATAATAATTTTCAGACAGTATGTATAATAAATAGTAAATACTGCAACATTGTTCATTTTGATTTCATGGAGATTTTTTTTTTTTTTTTCAGAGGATCTTTCTTGGGTACCTGCTGAAACCCTGGCAGAAGGACCGACCCCTGAGGCCCGAATTGGTCACACAGCAACCTATGATCCGGAGTCTAAGCGTATCTTTGTGTTTGGCGGCTCAAAGCATAAGAAATGGTTTAATGATGTTCACATCTTAGACACACAAAGCTGGCGTTGGACTTTGGTAGAGGTTAGTCTGCAATTTATTCCACAAACACCTGTCAATTATCTTTTAAAAGACTCACAGAACTGTACGGTATTACTGCAACACAAGACTAGGCGCGATTTGTTTTTGTTATAGATGTCACGTTTTTCTCGTCCATAGTAAATGAAGATTTCATTTTATTAGCCAGTAGGTTCTGAATATACTTAAAAGCTCTTTTGGATTTCGTTGACCTCTTTAGGCGCAGGGAAAAGTGCCTCCTCTGGCTTATCACAGCTGCAGTATGTTCCGGGGAGAGCTCTTTGTGTTTGGAGGAGTGTTTCCTCGCCCACATCCAGAACCGGACGGCTGCAGTGACTCCATCTACATCTTTAACCCTGATATGGCCATCTGGTATCAACCCATTGTCAATGGAGAGAAGCCTGCACCACGCTCTGGGTAGGGCTGTTCATGTCTCTTTTTTTAAATCCAAGTAGTCCACAGTTTATTTAACGTTACATTAGCAACATTTTGAGATCTGTAATACTTTACATTAATTGCATGACTGATTGTGATGTTTTAAAACTATTTTCAGCTGTGCATGTGGCATATGAGTATTTTCTTTCTGACTTGAACAGATTTTGATTCATTTGTGCAGGCACTCAGCATGTGTGATGCAGGGGAGCATCTTTGTGTTTGGCGGATGGGACACTCCTGTCTGCTTCAATGACATGTTCATGCTAGATCTTGGTAAACACTGCAAGAATTGTTACTATTTTCAAGACTTATTATTTGATTTTAATTTGGTTTCTCACTGTGTGAATGTCTTATTGGGGAAAAATAAGGAATAACTAAAGTCACTGGAAGGCAGTAGTAGGGGTAACCAAATATTTTCTGACATTGACTGAATTGTTTTATCATTGATGGGAAAAACCTGAATCCGTCATTTTGACAGATTACACTGTTGGTGATCGACTGTAACTGTAATTCCCACCCCTGTCATGTTGTTGGCAAGCATGCATATTAATTAGCGATTACTTGGTCTTGTATCAACATACAATTGAAAAAATATCACAGCAGCAGAGTTTGAAGTTTCCTCGGACGGCCGAATAGTTGTGATCTTGTTGATAAAAGAGGTGAAAAAAGAGGGACTGATGTGGATGCAGTGGCGAAAGTCAGTACAATACCGGCACAGGCGAGGACACAGTTTAAGTCCATGCAGACCAGGAGGAAGGTTTGAGTTCAGGCAGATGGAGAAAGTCGATTGAGTTTAGTAGTTCAGTTTATTTTTTATGTGTTTATCGTAATTGTACTATTTTGTAATATTGCGTTAATATTTGCCTGTTCGGGCACAAAGAAAGGTTCTGTTTCAGTGACTTCCGCTGTCACTGCGGAAAAACAAACATTCATCTGCTTCGTGTGGTGTTGAAGATGAAAAGTAAAGTACAGTCTCTGTTCCTCTGTTCTCTTTAAATAATAAATAAATGCATAATCTAGCCTATATCCTTGTCCTGTACGTCCGTGATTAAAAATTTAAATGTGAACGAAAACAAAGGCTATTAAATGTCGTCTTATCATTAAAATATGAAAATTAAAATGACGGGTACTAATAGATTATGAATGAAATTTTAGACCCTGTCTGTCAAAATGATGGACAATGAGAGTTTAACGCAACCACTGCTGGAAGATGTTTTGCCACTCATAGAATTAATTTCAGTACTGTTACTTGAGGACAAAAAAATCTACTAGACATGTTTTACATGGTAGAGGAGTGTCATATATCCATTGTTCTGCACGGTTTCTATAGGAAACTGTTATACTTGCATTCTTTATTCAGATCTGTGTAGATTTTCTGCATATTTAATACCTGGTATAATACTGTTTTACACATTAATTACGGAGAGCACTCTTTAAAAAGTGGAGTAGTCAGCTTAAAATAGCATATTGTCACATCCTATTTCAGGCTTGATGGAGTTTTCTGCTGTGAAGACAAGTGGGACAGCCCCCTCTCCTAGAAGGTATTTAAAACATGACAATTTATTCTTGGAGTAAATTGTACTACAAAAAAAACATTTATTTTGTTCCTTAAAAACATGCTCGCAACAGTAAACAATGTATAGCAAAATTTCAGTTGTCTTATTATGGTTACATGATTGAACATCTTGATAATACTTTATGTAACCTATACCTGTTCCATACTGTATCACAGCTGGCATGGCTGTGCAGTTCTTTCAGACTGCAACTTCCTGGTCCATGGTGGATACAATGGGAACAATGCACTGAGTGACACATTCATCTTCAACACTGGTGAGACTTTTTGCCCCAATTCCACTTCCAGGACTATATGGTTGCTACTACAGTATACACTAATACTGTTAAACATTTTTGGGTTGGTAATATTCTCTAGAAGTCTTTTTAATTTGCTCAATTATTTGATAGAAAATACAGTAAAAAACAGTATTACTATGACATTTTATTACAATTTAATTAACTGTTTTTGTTTATTTATATACAAGGCTTTGACATAAAACTGAAACACCTGGTTTATGCCACAATAATGTATTAGTTAGGCCATATTGGTGTAGGGCCTCCTTTTGCTGCCAATACAGCATAATTCCGTCTTGGGAATGGCAGATCCAAGTCCTTCACGGTGGCCAGAGGGATTTTGAGCCATTCCTCTTCCAGAACAGTGGCCAGGTCACTGTGATGCTGGTGGAGGAAAAAGTTTTCTGACTTGTTCCTCCAAAATACCCCCAAAGTGCCTAAAAAATATTTAGATCTGGTGACTGTGGAGACCATGAGAGATGTTCAGTTTCACTTTCATGTTCATCAAACCATTCTGTCACAAGTCTTGCTGTGTGTATTGGTGCATGCTGATACATTACACCCCCTTCAGGGTACTAAGTTTGAAACATTAGGTACACATGGTCCTCCAGAATGGTTCAGTAGTCCCCATCAAGCACAGTATACCATGATATTACAGCCCAAACCATCACTGATCCACCCCCGTGCTTCAGTCCGGGTGTTAAGCTTCTTTGGGCCTTCTCTACACTGTAACTCCCACGGATGTGTGAAAGACAGTGAAGGTGGACTCATCAGAGAACAATTAGCATTGTTGGCACCATTGAAACCGACTGACATTGGCACAAGTGACCAAAGGTTTGGCTATAGCAGCCCGACCATGAATATTGACTTTGGCGCTCACAATGAACAGTTTTGTTGGAAACAGAAGAGTCAATGTGCGCATTTAATTCTGCAGTGAGTTGGGCAGCTGTGGTTTTATGTTTTTTGAATAAAATCCGGGTTAGTGCCTGGACATCCCTTTTAGACAGCTTGCGTCAACAGTTTAGAGTCTGAAATTTTCGTATGCGTTTTTTCGTATTCGTCATTTGATGGCTCCTGAATTGTCAAAACACCTCAAAATGCTTGCTACGGATGTGAAAATCTAACCCAGTCCGAATTTGTTTGTGACATACGGACAAAAGTTTTGGAGGCTGTGTGTAAACGTGATTGACACAACATGAGGTCATATTTATTTTTTAACGTGCAAGAATTTCGGACTCTGTGCAAGGACCTTTACTCTTGTTGGATGTGGTTTGTTGTCCAACATTTCCCCATGGATACAATAAAACTGACGGAGAAAAATAAGTTACTGACAGACAGTGTAGGCTACAGAGTGACAGACAGAGAAGCTACCCAAGCGGTGCTGAAAAAGGAGGAAGCGGGAGGAAAGCAAAACGTTTTTAGCAAAATTGCAGAAGGTAACAAACTTTTTTGTGATGATGTGCTAATATGTTACAAGTCCATGGCCGTAGCCAGCTATGAGGTGACCGAGGTCCGGAACTCTGTCATATTTTACATTCAAAAATAAAATGTCAAGCTCTCTGAATGATTAATTAGCCGTTTAAACCACCTCATATTATGTGTTTGCAATGCATGTTGCTGCGAGAAGCTAGCGAAGTGAACGGGGCTTGAGAGCGCGTTGTGAGTGAGGGCGCGCGTGCAGCCTCCGTGTTGCCAGATCCACCTAATGGAAAGGTGGCAGTAGTCTTCTGGACCTGTTTTTCTGATTTAATGTGACACTTTAGGAAGTTATTAAAGTGGAAAGTTGCATGTTAGGGTTAGTGATATATAAATCTTATTTCCAAAACACAAGCTTTGAACTTATTTCGGATTATTATTATTTTGTTTTCTTGTTTTTCGTAGCAATATCTGGCAACATTTTACTGTCGGCATTAATAAAAAAAAAGCTTATAGACAAACTGTAATTGCATAAAGATACCACATTCGGTAAGACAAACACAATGATCATCGTGATTATCTGTAAGAAATGTATAACACTATCAAAAACTATAGCATAATACAGATCTGTATGAATGAAATTTGCCAAATAACTTACTGGCCAGCAGGAAGACGGCTCATGCTGTTTAGTTAACCTTTCACAAAGTCATCATAAAAACATTAATTAAAGCAGTGTTTCTCAACTAGTAATCTATTCAGTCAGCATATTTGTGTTTGATCTCTGTGAATTACAGAAATATAAGACTTGCTAGACTTACTTTTTTTCTATATTTCTTTGCACAAAACTCTCCAGAAAGTGTCATGTAATAGTAAAAAAAAAAAAAAAAAAATCAGATTTATTTTTTTTCGTTCTCTTTTAAAGATCGGATGGGGGGCCCCATACTACCTTTGCCTTGGGCCCCCAATTTGCTAAATCCGCCACTGGTTGTTTTCATAGTAAAATGTCTTTATCAGCTACGGAATCATCAATCATGGTATTCATGCAGGTATTTCATGCATATGCCTTTAGTTTGTTTTATTTTTGATAAAATAACATATGACGTATGTCTCAACTGTTCAGAAAGCTGCAAGAAATTACATTTGCGCTGAACTATTTCCCATTTCCAAGTAGATTATAACCGACATCTGTAGCTTGTCATTTCATTTTTATTTCGGCCACAGTCCGAGGTTGTGAGGCTACAGCATTTACGGCGTCTGCTACCTTTTGCCACTCAAGTGCCTTTTTGGGATTAGTAATGCCCACACCCTCCAAACAACATTTTTTTTCTCCTCTTTTCCACCTCGCCAACGATAACTTCTACTTCACATTGAGTGAAGTTAAGTTTTTTTTTATTTCCTCTCTATGTTTGCCATGATTTCGCAATCGATGAATATTAACTTGTGGGCGTTTCACGGACTATTTATGGGCAACTATGGGCGTGACATGAAGCCGCAAAAGCTGCGCTACATTTAGAATTGATTGTGATTTATTAAGGGAAAAATGCGTAGGATGTGCGTGCGCACGGTTTTATAAATCCGAATATTTCTGTGCGTACGCACGTCCTATGTTTCATCCGTACGCCACTTCTGACGCAAATCCTACACAAAGTTTTATAAATGAGGCCCCTGGTCACAGATGTGCCAGCGAGAAGCGAGACCTCTTGAATTGATGTCTCCCATTACTGTATGTTTTGTGGATTGCAATATTTTATGTACAGCTGTGCTATTGCTCTGCTAATTCAACCTTCACACTCTGCTCTTACTGATGGAATGTAGGCAGGAAACCTTCAGCACTGTATTGGCCGGCATTTCAGTTTCATTGTCCATGCCTGTAATGCCGAAGCTGAATTTTCAGCATCATAACTCCAGTCTTCAGTGTCGGATGATCTTTTAGAAATCATTCTTATATGCTGATTTGGTCCACAAGAAACATTTCATTATTATTTTCAATGTTTAAAACTCTTGTGCTGCTATATTTTTCAGGACTGATGAATAGAAAGTTCAAAAGAACAGCATTTATTTGCAATAAAAATCCTTTATAACATTGTAAGTTTTGTAAATCGCTGAATAAGTTGCAACTTTCTTTAAAAATCTTATTGACCCCAAACTTTTGATTTGTAATGTATGTTGTCACATCCCATAAATGCTGTTGATCGATTTAAAAGTTGTATTTAACCTGGAATATTTATTTTAAAGCAACTAGCTTTTACTATAATTTGTAACACTTTTTAATTTTATTTTATTCCAGACACTAGTTGCTGGTCATCTCTGTTTCTATCCCAGCTCAATTCTTTCCCCCGAGCTGGACATTCCATCATTACCATGTCCACCACATGCAGAAAGGTAAAAAAAAAAAAAAAAAAACTCATATTATGGATACCTTTATAAAGTAGTTTCAGGTCATTATTATGGCTATTGATTTTCACTGCTCAGACCTTTAATACTAGTGTCTTTGCCTGTACAGGGATCTATAGATGAAGAGGAGGACCTTCCAGAATCATCCCCACAAACGCTGTTGGTTTTTGGTGGAGGTGACAATGAAGGGAGCTTCTTCTCCGACCTTTTCACTATGCCAGTAGAAGAGCTAAGAAGAGACTAAACACTTGCATCACAATTCGGTTTTACATGCTTTTTTAAGCTGTGCTTTTTCAGATTTTGTTCTTTGGTTTGATTGTGGCTTACTTAAAGAGGTGCATTACACTTTCACTCAGGTATTTGCATTATATCATCCTTTATTTACAAGTTTATGCTCAGACCTTGGGAAGTCAGTCTATAATGTTATGATTTGTGATACAAGCCCATTATTATTATAGATCAGGAAGAGTGGGCTGTTTTCTTCAGAAGAAGAATACTTATTCAAACATCATTAGATAGAGATTTGTTTTCTTGTTTATTCCATGAAGGGATTCAGGTTTGATCAACGAAAAGCTTTTTTGGTGTCCGTTTTGTATATACATGGTTTTAGAAAAAGCTTCTTTTTTAATGTCTTTGTAAAATTATGATTTGGCAGTAAATACTGTCGCAGCAAACCTGTTCAAAATTAAACGTTCTTTATAAATTCAAACGCCTCTTTTCTTCAGTTATTCGGACACTTTGATTCAATCACACAGCAGGTCAGTCACACAGATACTGTATTTCCTGTGTCCAGGCATCTGCTAAATTTCTAAATCTCCACGGAAACAACGACCGCATGATGTCACCCCACGTCTACAGTCGCCGTTACGACCGCGAATACCGCAGTATGCGAGCACCGACTGCTACTGATGCCTAGAGAGGATCCGTGCACGGATCCGCCGCCGCCCCTCCCCGTTCAGCCCCCCTCCGCTCGCTCCGGAGATCGGCCATGTTGACTCTCGCGCTTGTTCCGGTATCAGGCACGAGCGTTTGAGCAACTCGGCCGCAGTACGACACCGATCCGCCTCCAGTGTAGCCCATTTCTCCTCAGCCCCGAAGCCAATCATGGATTTTACTACCTGACTGGATGTTTCTCTTTGGATACGAGCCCTCAGACGACTCCTTTCATTCAAGAGCCTTTGGTCACCGGGATCCCGTGAGTGGCGGAAAACGGTTTCGTGGATCATGAGGGTTTTTCGGGATTTTTAAATCCATCTTATGTCTGCTAACGTTAGTCCTTCATTCTCAGCACTCACGGTTGATTTTCTTTAAGGTTATATCCGCGTTCAGTCCAGCGCCGTTTGTTTCGTTAGCTCAAACTGACGGTTGAGGTATTTGTTCACCTTTTGTTGACACTAATTGTTTTGAAGGTCGGTAAAATTGTGATTTTTGGTTGGCCTAACACTTCATATCGCTCGCAGAGAGATACTTTTCGTGTCCTCATTCTCTGTCATTTTTAAGACCTGGGAGGAAATGAATTGTTTTAAACTCTCGCTTATTTCGTTGGGAAACAAATATAAATGTAAGTCAGCTCCATGTTAGTCTCTCCAAGAAGACCTTCATAAATCCTCATCAAGGACCTGCTGTTTATTTTCAACTGGAGACTTTAATACAAGTTTTTTCTCCACATATGGACTGATGTTGGGCTTCAACTTGTTGATCTCTGTCTGCGTGGCTAGTTCAAGCTAGCTAGCAACACTGATTACTTCTGTCAGAACAGACGAATAGCCTGTAAAGGCAAGCTTATAAATGCTCGTCAACCACTAAAAACGATTTTCCATTTATTTTCCCACCCGTGGCCTTGATTTTGAGAATACCTGGGCGAAAATGACAACCCGAGGAGGAGTTGGTGTTATAGAAAATTCATCCAGCCAGGTGAGACATATCTTCACTGACTGCACAGAAACTAATATGTATGAATGTGTGTTACTGTGTTTATTGTTGGGAATTACGTCATTCTTGATTTTCTTTTGAATTGTATTTCCTTCAAGCTCGTCGAGCTGAAAGGCAGGTGTCTGGATATATATTTATATGTAAGTTAGTTCAGGAAGAGTTTCCCTGACTCAACATGTCTTCCCTTATCTGTTCATTGATAGGCTTGTCAAGGTAACTTCCATGTTCCTCGCTGTAGATGTTGTAAATCTGATGTCTTAACCCTTGTGCATCAATTAAAAAAAGTTACACATAGGTCCATACTGGACTAAAAATTTGAAGCCTAGGAGCACAGACTTAAGTTTGGTCTCATTTTAAAGAAGACCATTGGCAGATTATTGCTAGAGTAATAATAATAAATAAAATAAAAATATATAGGTTTATGAAAATGATTTATGAACATTATTTTAAATACAATTTATATTTTATGAAACATATTGAACTCTAAAACGGCTAGAAAATCAAAGCCATAAATCTAAACAAGTTGTGTTCCAAATTTGAGGTTGATATCTCAAAAAATTAGCGTTTAGTAAAATTTTGGTTGGACGCAGTACCACATTTTCCCCATTGGAGACCAGCAAAACTCCACTGGTCACACAGAGGTTCGATTTGTTATTAGCAGTAGTTTTTTATGTGACCCTGGACCACAAAACCAGTCACATGGGACAATTTTTTGAAAAATTTAGATTTACATCAAATGAAAGCTGAATAAATAAGCGTTCTATTGATGTATGGTTTGTTAGGATAGGAGAATACTTGGCCAAAATACAACTATTTTAAAATCTGAAGGTGAAAAAAATCGAAACATTGAGAAAATCGCCTTTAAAGTTGTCCATTTATGTTCACGATTGTGCTGCATTCACTCAAAAAAAAAATGTTTTATATATTTACGGATTGGAAATTTACAAAATATCTTCATGGAAAGTGATCTTTACTTAATATCCTAATGATTTTTGGCCTAAAAGAAAAATCGATAATTTTGACCTATACAATGTTTTGTTGGCTATTGCCACAAATATACACATGCTACTTGTGACTGGTTTTGTGATCCAGGGTCACATATTACAAACACACACACGCACACATACACATATTTTTTTTATTACACGCACACAAACCACACTCTGACATCCATACCAACACACCCACACAATTATCGCTCCATAATTTATCCAATTGGCTCTATAATATGCCAAAGCAGAAAACAGGAATAAAGCGAGTATTTGCTTTATAGGCCAAACCTGAAAAAATGGCACCATCTGGTAAAAAATAGTAAAAATTTCAATTTTGAAGCCTTGCCAACAGAATGAAAGCCTCTTAACAAAGATTGCATCATTTTATAGTTAAATGGCCCTGGGATTAAAAATTGCAGTTTTAATGGGTTTCAATGCGGACATTTTTGTCCAAAAGGCGCTGAGAGGAACTATTTTGTGTACCTAGTGCAAAAAATATTTTTTAAAGAAATGGGGGTGAAATAGTAAAATTTCAATAAAAATACACACCCGAACCAAATTTAGTTAGCATAAATACAGGCAACGTTATAAAAAAAAAACTAAACTGAAAAAGACAAAAATGTCCATAAGGATGCACAAGGCTTAATAGTGTTTTGAAAATCATTTTGTTCAATGCATAAACTGAAAATCCCCATATCAGTAAAGTTTAGTCTGTAAATACAATGAAGTTAGATGAGTTTAGACCTGATAGCAGTGGTTTTCAACCAAGGGACCGGGGCCCTCAGGAAATTTCCAAGAGCGCCTCAAGAATCAAGATTTAAAATGTTTTAAAATAAGCTAAAACTATTTAAAAAAAAAAAACACATTTCTTATTTATTTTCATTCACACACAAGCTTCTGAAATTAAACTATTTTATTATTTTAATTTGAATTATATCTAAAGATACTCCTAATTTCTGTAAATAAAAAAAAGCAGGGCAGGGATCTCAAATGTTGTTGTGGACAGTCAAAAAGGTTTAACCACTGGTCTAATGAGAAAATCAGTCAACAGTGCATTTGACTTGGGAACCAGGAAGACACTGGCAGTAAGAATAGCCAGCCTTGCCCCTCTGAATGTGATAAGGCACAGATTGTGATGCGAGTGCCAGAGGATGGAAAATTGAGCCATTCAGAGTGAGGAGGAGGAGGACAGATTCAGTGCTCATTAATAACTCATGCCAGTGTGACTAATGCTGACTGAGCTACATACAATACAGGCAGCGCTAACATGTGTGTTTTCCGCTAAGTGGCTTAATGAAAAACGAAGGACTTTATATCCTTGTCCAGCTCTCCGGATGCCCTCTCTGAGATCTCTAACCTCTTCTTCAGAGTGTGTCTGTTTTAGCAGAGGAAGAGTGTGAGGAATGAATCACTGGTGTTAATCATACTAGTGAGGTTGTGGGTGAGTTTCAGCCTGCTATGTAGGAGGAGAGGTATGAAAATGTGTTTTTTATTTTGCATTATCTGGTTTGTTCAGGCACAGGGAAGGATGCTTTGCATAAAAAAATCAGACTTGGAACAGTGTGTTTATGTTTATGACTTGGACTGAGTTTTGCATCTTTGGGAATTTTATCTGTCATTCACTGTGCTGTTTCGTTATTGACTATTTGATTGCAATGTTTATTTTAATACATATTTTAAACATGGGCTTTTTTCGATAGGGGTTTCACAGACCCTGGTGTTCAGCCTGAATTGAGGACCATTTGGCCTGCGACTGTTCTCCAGCATTGTGGCATCCATGTCTGAAAAGCACACCACCCCAATAAGTGTTAACACAGGGTTTCCTTGTCCTCAGTAACTCGGTGTGTCACCTTGCTGATACTGTGACCTGACACCACAGGCTTGTGTTACAGTTCCCTGAAATCGCAGACCCCAAACACAGATTTAGATTGAGAGAAAGGGCCTTCACCTGTTTCTCATCCTCTAACCTCTGCGTTCTGATGTTTTAGCTAAATCATGTGGTTTAGGAACTCAGTGTCCATTGACTCAACATTCAATCAAATCTAGCCTTATTTGCTCTATTAATACACACATTTTGGTCATACTGTGCACAATTAATGAGTGCATGTTATTCCAAAGGCAAAATGTTTGTTACAATTTTCAGCTGACGTCACCTGGGCTGTGGGTTGGGCAGATGTTAATGTTAATGTTGCTTTGTTTTAGGCATTTGCTATTGGTAGTAATGCAGTAATTTTAATGCTAATGTAAAGTTTTAGTGGATTTAGATATGCATTTTTTTATTGGCCGATAATATCTTAGAAAGCGGTGTGGCCGATATAAGGCTGAATTATTTGATATCATACTTTTTAGTTTAAAGATAGTAAATAACATGCTGCAATTAAGTTTTTATGATATTTACTAAATATGAAGTAAATAATTTGAGTATAAAAAATTAATTATTATTCATTTTAGAGAGAAAATCCAGTGTTTTATAGTATTTATTTAGCCTATTTATTAGAAATTCAAAGACTTGTTTCAATTATATGAGTGTTTGCTGACAGTATGTTAAAAGTATCATAGTGTTTGTCTTTTATTTTTACTAATAATAATACTAATAAAATGCCATAATATACTATTATTTACTATATATAGGCTACATTATATACTATTTAAATACCAGTTCAGTCTAAAAATGTATAAGAACTGTTAAACAAAGTAAACTAATGACAACATAGAATTGGATACTAGTTGGCAACAGATAATGATGGCACATTTTTGGCTGCAAGATTTAAGAAATACATCAAGATGCTCATGGGGGTGAACTTGACCTTCGTTTTCCATACCCCATTCGAAAGGCCTTCTTAAAAGAGGGTGACTGGCATTGTTTCAGGAGTCGTCCACAATCTATTGCAAATTCTGGTATGGAACACCAATATGCAGTGGCACTTGGTAATATACCACATTGCTAATGATGTTTTATGTAGATTTTGAAGTGTTTTGGTAGCTTTTGGCCGTTATAACCATCAGTGTATTGAAAACTATGGGGTGTCTGTGAGGTTTTAAGACTGAGCTTTTCTGAATGGTCTATATTGTCTCTGTCGAAAATCACTATTTTTGGGATAGTTTACCCAAAAAGGAAAATCTGATCATTTACTCGCCCTCAAATGTCTCTGTTTTTTGTTCATACAGTGAAAGTCAGTTCTTTGGGACACCACAGAATTTCATTGTATGAACAAAAACAGTTGAAACATTCTTCAAAATACCTCCTTTTATGTTCATCGGTTGAACTGTGTGAAGATGAGTAAATGATAACAGAATTTTTTTGTTGTTGGGTGAACTATCCTTTTTATACAAAATGAACATATTTTCTGCTGTTGTGATTCTATCTTACTGTCATTATTTGTCCTCATCGCTGTATCTTTTGTGGCTTTATGTCTGTCCACCTGCGTGGTTTTACAGATCACGTCTTGAAGTCCTCAAAACGTGTTTTATGCTGTTCGGTGTGGTGTTTGGACATCCTCCATATACTACACAGATCTCTGTTGGGTCCGCTGACCCTGATCAGTCTCAAAGACTCACAGTTTTCCACTGCAGTGATTTACTCTATTAGCACTTCTTGTTCCACTAAGCATATCATTTCATTGGAATAAGGTTTTTTTTTTTTAAATGGCAGCAGTTTGTTATGAATGTGAAAGTAGTAATCCTGATATTATCCAGTCAGTCAAAGCTGATCTGCAAGCACTAGATAGCATTGCAGCCTGCAGGTATGTAATCTTTTGAGATGCTGCTTAGATATAAACAATCCATCATCACGTCATCTATAAGGATGGCTGGCAAGCGACTGATTATAATTTATAGTAATACCTGGATTTATAACTCATTGAGGATGCACAAATGCCTCTTTAAAATGGCATCATTTTGTCATTTAAGCAGCTCTGTTTTATTACTGTTTCATCTGGAGTAGAATATAACTAAACGTTTCAATTCTGAAAGATTGAATTGATCATCGTG